GGCTTTGAAAAACCAAAAGTCTGTTGAAAATTAATAAAAATATAGCAAATCGTTGACACTCTTAAGGGTTCAATTTTGCTCCTTTCGGTCTGACATTCGTGTACGCAGGTCGCGCCCGCATACAAGTTCAAGGTCCGAAGCCTATTTCGGTCCAAGATTTGCACCCCCCTGCGCGCGCACGTAGAGAATGCCTCTATGCTACACATTATTACACCACTCTAAAGTGTAATCCTTTATAAACTGGTTTTAAATTCCATCCACTTCCTATGTAGGACAAACCTTAACTCTTTTAGTTTTCCCAACAAACTCCTTTCATATAGCATACTTTGAGTTTCAATTTCTCATTCACCCGAGTATCATTTTTGACAAGTAAGTATATGTTCGATGTACTCACGGAGGAGAACACAAATCAACTTTCATCTTCCAAAATAGCCAAACGGGTCCCGCTCAAAATTCTTCAAAATAGTCAACCGGGTCCCGTTTGAAATTAGTGCCAAAACTAGCCCCACAACTTAGTTTTTCCAACAATTAATTCTCTCAATTTCCCTATATTATTTTGAAGGTGAAAGGATAGATGAGTCCATTAAAGCAGACACGGTAGGCACTTCCCAAACTATAGAGGTCTCAGGGGTTAGTAGTAGGTCTATTATTGGTAATTTTGTTGCCTGTGTATAGAGTTACTGATAGAAGCATTGTTGAGGTCATTTTTTGGCAAACAAAACTCCAAGGTAGAAACCGAGATAGATAGTTTCGCCCACCCACCTTAACATGTTTATGGAGTCACCAATAGAAACATTGTTGAGGCTCACAGCAGATCTAGCAATGATGTGTATGGAGAACTACTGTCTATTCCCTGCGAACTTAGAGCAAAATTTGTTGATGTAGGTTCTAGGAACATTTTTTGGCAAACAAAACTTCAAGGTAGAAACCGAGATAGATAGTCTCGCCCGCCTTAGCCTGTTTATAGAGTCACCGATAGAAGCATTGTTGAGGCTCACAGCGGATCTAGCAATGATGCGTATGGAGAACTACTGTCTATTCCCTGCGAACTTAGAGCAAAATTTGGTAATGTAGGTTCTAGGAACATTTTTTGGCAATCAAAACTCTAAGGTAGAAACCGAGATAGATAGTCTCGCCCACCTTATCCCGTTAATACCATTATGATTAAGGTAAGAAACAACGCACCGTTCTATACACTCCGGTTCTGGTCCAACAAATCCTTTAGCAACCTTATGCCCATGCCTATTAATTGTATCTTGCTTCTTCATCTCGAACCTTTGCTGTCCATATTAGTAACTTATATGATGAGATAAGATGAAAAAGTACTTTAGTAATGAAAATAAAAAGGTTTTAAGTTATTACATTTTCCAGTTTACTCTTTTGGCAACTTTCTCTTTTATTAGGAATCTTAAGTATACACAGGATTTAGATTTTTGAATAATATAGACAATTAGTTTAATATTAAAGATATTAAGATTATTTCCCTTGCCCCTACAATTTCCTCATACTTTTATTTCTTCTTCTGTCTTTTCTTCTTTCCTGTTTTGATGTTTTGTAGATTAAAAAAAAAATGAGTATTTTAATTCTATTTCGTAAAAATTCCTTGTTAGGTGAATGGACTCCATTAGCTACATGCTTGTTTTCTTGTGAGCTTAACAATTTGGAGATTACTGGTGGCATAATGTCTTGAATCACATTAGGTCATGAGATTGGATTTTGAAAATTCTAATTTATATTCTTTTATGAATTCCAAGGTAGAGGCCCCAGTTTCTTGGTTCAATGAGTTGAATAATGATCAATTTTTCTCTTAGATATAAAGTTGCCAACTACGACTTGAAATTTACCCCCGTGCTCCATTAAAAAAAGATTTGTACATTGACCAGAATGTTGAGTTATGGACATTGACAAAAATTGACAATAAAGTGCAATAAGAGTTGCCTTAAATATTTCATAGGATACGCTATATATTGTACTTGTACATCTAGATGACATGATGACAGTTCATTTGACATATTGTAAATCAGCCAGCTTTCTTTTTCTTTTCAGTGTCTCTGTAATCCCAACTGCTAAAAACTGCAGCTTATTTTACTGGGGCAGGTTGAAATTCTGTTAGTTGCGTCGAACTATGGTTGGCTGCCGAGGCATGGCCGGAGACGTGTGAAATAAGTTGTACAATTGACCTGATGTTACTAATCATCAGCCTCGACTGAAAAGTCTGGCTCTTCGGGTTTCTGTAATTTTGGTGACCCTAGGTCTCTAATCTTCTGAGCACTTCTTGTACTCGCAGCAAATTTTGAAGCCAAAATTGTGACCCCAAGTTTTGATATCCGACCAGAGTTTGAACTGTCAGTGCCCTCATTCTGTTCTACCTCTTTGGAGTCCAATGCTGTCATCTCGTCCAATGTAAACGATTCCATGGTCACCAGATCTTTTGCCATCTTCCTCCTCTTGTACCGTCTCCAAGCAGCCTGTATGGAACATGCTGCCCATGTTCTCCAGTGATGTGAGTAAAAGCGGAATGTATGCTGCAACTTCTTGCTGTGGAGTCGTCTAAATTGGTTAGCTACAAACTTGAGATCTTCGGCTCGCAATGCAAAAGCTTCGACTTCAACAAGTGCTCTCACTGTTCTAGTTGAAGAAGGTAAGTTGACGGTTGATTTTGGAAGCAAAGCCCATGCAAGTAGCTCCTCCCCACAAAAATCTCCTGGTCTCAGGGTAATGGAATTGAAGAAACCCGTCTGTCCTCCATTTGTCGTAGAACTTTCAAGTCGACCTCGGATGATGAAGAGCATCTCTGTCACGGGATCACCCTCACGTACAATGTACGTGCCCTTGGTGCTCAAAGAGGAGACTAGCACCTCGAATATTGCCTCAAGCAACTGATCGTCCATTTGTGAGAAAAATGGAACCTGGAGAATTGGACCAAAAAAAAAATCGAAAATCGAAAGGAGGTTAGCACGTGATACAAACAAAAAAGGATCTCACGAGTTTTGGAGCTTCATGTTTCAATAGGACAAGTGCTGCGACAAATGTTATTTTTGCCACACTATATGATTCAAGAAAACATTCAGGTTTTATTTTGCAATGAAAAAAGATTGTTGGGAAATCATACACGTCGAACAAGGTCCAAACACAGATGAAATTGTATATCATGACGGAGATCAGAGGGTAAGCCAAGTAGAATAGTTTCCTCATTTACTCCTCTAGTTGCAAGCCACTTATATTGAACAAACTGCCGAACACGTTTCCTTAAATCTTCTGGAAGTTGACGATGCTGCATCCACTCCTCAGTGTCTCTTCGCTTAAGTCTCCATTCCTCGAGCCTTATTGTTAAAGACTGCAGGTATGTCTACATGCAGAAAATGATGGAAGTAAATTACACTAGTTTAGAACGATAAGCACAATATGATGTAAAGAAAAAGCGAGATACAAGTCCTTGTGTCACTGGTAACAAGAGAAAAAGGGAAAGAACTCCCTAAAATGTTTGATACTCTTGGTCACTGTAACCAGAGATGGTGGGGTTTTCCCCCTTTCAACCAAAATTGTGCCAAAAGAAATGGTATATCTCTTCAGGTCAACAAGTAACAAGAAGGATTTTATGTCCTTTATTTAGAAGTCCCGTATGGGCTAATTTTTAGTAGAAAATATTAATTTTCTGTCCAGTGCAGACTTGCCATTTAGTAAAATATTTCATGGCATCGAGACATTGAAGCAATAGAACATTTGATCCAAGCAGACTGTACATAGCACAGACTTTTAGATGTCAAGAAAAACTTCCATTGAATTTTACTCCGTGTCTAAAAAGGTTTCCATATACGCAATTCTTTTTCAGGTTTCAAGAGCTCAATACTCTAGGAAATTGAAATTTTAGAATAACTGAATAAGTGAAAATGGATTCTTGAAGTGAGGAACTCATATTTCATTCATATGTTAGGAAAAGATGACAAGCCTAAAAGTCCCCAGAACAAGACCACCATACAGCTCAAACTTGAGGGGAAATTTTGACAAAATTAAGAAAGATATTGACAAAATTGATAAATAAAAAAAAAAAGTTGGACTTGAGCACATATCTTTGAGGTCAAACACCTTGAAATTAAATGAGACTAGATAAAATATGGGATTGGCATTAGCACTACACAAAACTAATGGTAATCTTGATTTTAGGAATTCTTTTTGAAAGCTTCTCATCAGGTCAAATTCAAAACTCTAAACCTTGTTTGGAAATTATATTAAATAAATATCACAAGATGACAACCATTTTAAATCCCAAAACATCACCATTAAACCTTAGATTTAACAAAGCTTCATGATTTGCACTTGAAGTTTTAAAAATAGGCAACAAGATCAATGAGATCCCCAAGAGCAGCAATAATCTAGCGAAGTAAAGGGCAGAGAAAAAAATGAAATGAGACACTAAACTCAAACAAGGATGATCAAAGTAAACTTAGACAAGCTTGAAAAATATGAAAATGCAAGCAGCAAACTGCGTTCTCACATTTTAAAGAATTAGTAGGATTTTATGCATATAAGATCTAGAAACATCACCAGTAAATTAGATATTCAAGCAAAGGTTTAGATGCATGCAACACTGTGACCCTTCTGAACAAATTAGTTGCAGTTTCAATTTTGTTTTATAAGAAACTGTTAAAGTAAAAGAATTAGAAAGCTCAACAATAGTGTTAGCATGTCCCACTATTTATAATAAGAGTTAGGAAAACCTTAGGAAACCCTAGGTATTACATAAAAGACCTAAATACCCTTTAACACTCCACCTCAAGCTGGAGCTAAA